GGACATCGAATTCAGGGTATTGATACACCTAGACACCTGAACACTACGGAGCGCACTATGTGGACGTCGTCATCGGCGACCTGGGACACGTGGACATCGAATTCAAGGTATTGATACACCTAGACACCGAAAACTACGGTGCGCACTATGTGGACGTCGTCATTGGCGACCTGGGACACGTGGACGTCGAGTTCAAGGTATTGATACACCTAGACACCGAAAACTACGGAGCGCACTACCTGGACGTCGTCATCGGCGACCTGGGATACGTGGACATCCAGTTCAAGGTATTAATACACCTAGACACCGAAAACTACGGTATTAATACACTTAGACTTATTCAAACTTGGCGCGAGACGCTACGTGAGATACGCGACAGCAGCGCCAATGCCACGTTGCGGCAGGAAAGTGAGATGGATTTTGGCCTGGTTGATAACGACGACGACGACGACGACGACCACGACGACCACGATGACGACGTTTCTTAATAAGAATTACGTGAAAATTCAGAAAAATTCAGACTCCTGGACTTTGCATTGCAATATCTCTACTCATGGGGCACGTAGGAGAAAAGTAAAAATAGTTTTATCATGCAAATCGTACCCAAGCTATCGATTAAGCGCAGTCTCAAGTTCATGGGATCAGCCGTTGTTGAGATCCAAAAATCTGAGGGCCCGTCAAGTCGTGTACTCGCGTAAACTTACACGGTCGGTCTCACGCGCGTGGTACTAGCTGCGCTTACACTTGGCGCGAGAAACTACCGTGTCTCGTGATAACATTAACGCGTACATATATTACCACTAGTTTGGAAAACAACATAAATTTTACTTTAATCAATTTATACAGATCTGTTTTTGAAAACAACAGAAAATATGGAAAATGTGGAACCCAAAGCAGCATTAATAAGTCCAGGTAAAGATTTTGTTTTAATTTTCCATGATTTCAGTATTAAAAAAAGTATTAAACGTATTGTGTTTTTATGAAACCAGCGAATACCAAAAATACTCAGAAGAAAAGGAAAATAGATACTGTGGATTCTGTTAACCAAAATAAAACACACAAAAGTATGTAGGTAAAATGAAGGTAAAATATCATGAAATATGAAAAGAAATAATTTTAAACTATTATATAATCAATTGTAGGAACTGATGCTAAGTTTATTTTTAAAAACAAACGAGCCAAACCATCTGAAAATTCTCAGACTATGCAAGAGAACTTGCAGTTGAAAAACTTTGGCATTACAAAAAAATTTATTATTACAAGAAATAGAGGCTAAATCAGAAATCACTAAACTGACAATCCAAAATTTAAAGTTAGATACGGAGATTAAGAGACTAACATTACAGAAACTCGAGACGAATGTTATTGATGATGAATACTAAGTATGTTTCCGTGATAATTCATACAATATACAATGTGTAGTATACAATTCATAGAGAGTATAGTAGATTTGTTCAACTGATATTCTTTATTTACAGTAACTGTAAATTTACAGGCATATTAATAATAGACCTCATGTTGCAGCACCTGGAGTAACCGTTCTAATAGGCAGGTTCTAGTTCCGTAATCTACAAAAAGTATATGTAATATGTTTTTATATAATACCAAAGAAGTTATGTGATATTACATTATACAAATTAGATATAAAGAAGTTATAGGATATTACACATAAAGATCAGATATAAGAAAGTTATAAAATATGTTTACTTTGAAATGTGAATATTTTATATTTTTGTTAAATTCGCGCGCGCGTAGTATAAATAATTTATACTTTCATTAAATTTACCTTGAAAAATACTCATCGATAAGTGCTTGTCTGACATTATTGTCTCCTACTTGAATTCCCAATTGATTCTCATTATTATCTCCAATTTCCTCGTCAGGCAAATCGCAACACGCAGGAGGTTCTTCTTCATTGTGATTTCTGGCTATGTTGTGTAGAACTGCTGTAGCTACGATGATGTCTTGCACAGTCTCCATTTTAACTCTCATACCTAAACTTAAAACTGGAAATCGACGCTTCCATACTCCAAATACCCGTTCAACAATGTTCCTCGTTCGTATGTGAGCATTGTTGTACAGATTTTCGGCTGCAGTAGTTGGATGTAAAAGAGGAGTGAGAAGATATTTCTTCACTGGATATCCACCATCACCAAGTATTGTAATATTCCGGAATTAAACGTGCCTTCCTCCAACAGTGTTGCCAGGTCCATAAAAAATTTAGCGGTATATCGTTCTCTAAAATAGCGGTAGATGGGGCAATTTAGCGGAATTAGAAATTAATTCATAGGATAATACAAAACATGAATATTAAAAGTATATTAATAATAGCAACCAATTTCAGCACTCTTAACTAGTACTCAGTCTTTCTTACAAAGTTAATTGCCAATAATAAAAACAAGAAGTAAATTTTTCTTACAATCTACGAAGTCAATCGACAAAAACAACAAATAAATTTGTTTGTCTCTTTCTCTTCACCAATCTCGATGAAGCCCTAACCGAATTTAAATCATCGGAACGCCTCGGGCGTTCGGTACGCGCATAAGTCTCATAATATTAAAGCCGCGGGTTCGTAGATAAGGAAGCGGGATGCAGTCTTAGAAAGGAATACACAATCAAACCATACCATTTCCGCGGTACACACCTACTTGCTGAGGCATAAAAACCCTTGCGAGTCAAGGGAAAAGCCCGAGCAAGCGCTCAATTTATTGATTCTCAATACCTGGCCCGTAGCATTAACGGGCTCAGGCAGTAGCCAAGCGTATACATTCACATTCGCCACAGTCACATTACACAGTCGCATTTACATCAGATAACCGGCTCAACGCGCGGTAACTGTCTCTGCACGAGACCGAAATGGCTACGAAAGCCCGAAATGGCGGCGCGTCGTTACAGGCCGACACCGCACCGTTCCCGTAGGAACACTCGTCGTCCCGCGCGAACTGTCTCTACGCGAGGTAACTGTCGCTACGCGCGACGGAAGTGGCCACGATGGCCCGAAATGGCGGCGCGTCGTTACAGACCGATACCGCACCGTTCCCGTAGGAACACTCGTCGTCCTGCTGTCCCGTCGGAAGGTACGTCGAACCGCGCATTTGTCCGCGGCCGACGCGGTGGGAGGGTGATGCGGCTGGCCCCACCGCACCCCCACTCGCCAGAGATGAGGCTCGCGTCCACCCCGGGAACACGGCCCGCAAAGTGACGAGGCGGCGCACCTGGCCCCCCGTCCCCCCAGACCACGGTCTTGTATACAGGTCCGGCGACTGCCTCTAATTTTCGATGGTGGGGGTAGGTCGCTTAGCGAGGAAATTTTGTAGTTCTTGTAATGGCCACTAGCGTTGCAGTCTATGTTCTTTTGGTGGCGAGGGACGCTGGAGGCCGAGGGGATATATCGACCTCCCTCCCGGCCTCCAGCGTCCCTCGCCACCAAAAGAACATAGACTGCAACGCTAGTTGCCATTACAAGAACTACAAAATTTCTTCACTAAGCGACCTACCCCCACCATATGAGTTGCAAGACCTGTATGTAAGACCGTGCCCCAGACCAAGACACAATTGCCGCACCGTGGGCAAGATTAACCGAGCGACGAGACGGCGTATTACGGCCGTCCCGCACTCACTCCCCGCCACGACAGCGAGACGGCGCGCACACGAGGTACAATGGCGGAAGGCCCTAATGGCCGTTGTCACCCCTACCCCCCGCGGACGCCTCACAATTACCTTTGTCCTTCCCGATATTCGCTCGCTCGCTCGCAACTACGCCTCTCGGCGTACCAGCAGGATCCGCACCCTCAAGCGAACCGCAGGGCGCTCGCTCTCTCCCGGTGGCAGGATCCGCGTTCTCTTCCAGGGCAGGATCCTGGCGAAGGCGAGATCGCCTGGGCAGGGTCCCCCGTCCCACCGTCGTCGAGCAGTGTACGACGGTCGCTCAGTCTCCCGTAATCGTAGGCTCGATACCGCAGGATCTGCGGGTCCTCTCGACAGTCCTCGTCCTCTCGCAACGGCCGGCTAGTTATCGCAGGATCTACGGGTCTTCCCGACAATCCTCGTCCTTCCACTTGACCCACTGTCTCGACCATTGCTCTCCGATGACTAACTGTTCGTTACTTCCGAATCCTTGCAGTGGCAGGATCGCTTGTACTTGTAACGGCAGGCTCGCTCGTGCAGGGTCCGACGTCTCTCGCAACAGGTCCGTCGCCTGCCTCTCCACTACCGTTACTGTTACTAACCGGAAGAAAAGCGGTTGAGGAGGCGACTCGCACGCCGCACTCGCTCTCGTTCGCACATACACTCACACCGCGCACGCGCGGTCGGCGCCGCAGACCACTTCCGCAGCGCCGCGTCAACGCCGCTCCGCGGGTAACCCGGTCGGTACAATCTACGGGTCATTCGCCGCGAACAAAATTCTTCTTACAATCTACGAAGTAAAAAGTAAATTCTTTTTATAACCTATGTAAAGGCATAATCAAATAAATTAAAAGAGTATTGCAAATTAAAAATAAAAAATTCATAAAGAATAGATATTAAAGAGTTTTTGATAATGCCTATTATTAATTTGATGCTCAGTTCGTCAAGATCAGTTTCTTCACCAATAGGCTGGTACATTTCATTATTTATTCGCTGCAGAACATGCTTTTCAATGTTTAAATTAAAACATTCCTTATTTTTTAAATAAGTTTTTGTATGTAACAAACCTGTAATTGACTTTGTGCAAAGTTTGTTTCTTTGTTGGGTTTTCATTAAGTTTATTTGTGAGAAAATTCTTTCAACATTAGCTGGTGAGTGGAGAAGAGAAAGTAAGCTAAGCATAAATGGCCCTAATGTATCAAACATAGGATGTCCATCAGAATATTTCAACTCCGAAACATAACTCCAGAACTCTTCTACGGTGGAATATTTTTCACAAGAAATTTCTGTATTGCGTAAAAGCCGCCACTCGTTATCAATCGTTTGTAATTTTTCTTCAGATATCAAGTTTGGGAAGGCAACACATAAATTAATTATGGATGGTACAGAACCACTTCTTACAATTTCAGGATTTAGCACTTCTAACGATTTTATGACAGTGTTATTAAAATCGTAACGTTTTCGTATTTGTCTGGCGCCTTCTACATAGAAACTTAAACATCTTGTTCGTAAAATATGTAGCTGTTGACTGTCTAAGTGTTTATTGTATAAAACTGTGAGTATTTTAGCTCCCATATATATTTCTTCTAATGGCAGATAATTTTGTGGATCGTTAATATTTATTAAAGAAATAGGCATTTGTTGTATTACAGTTCTTTTAATGAAGTACTCCAAGAAAGTTTTATAAACAGTGCACATTTTTGTATGTAAATTATGAATCTGCAGAGTGGCACTTTGAAATTCCCGGTTTAAATTTGTAACGAGGTAATTCCGACCCGGAGCACGGCGCGCCGGCGGGCCAGCGGCGGGCGCGCGGTGCCCCACGAAAACCGGAGCACGCGGCGCGCTCATGCTCCACAAGGCCCGAGCGCGCGACGTTGCCGCGACGCGCAATGAGCGGCAACGACAAAAGCGGCGGCAGACGGTTGCCGCCAAATTCCCCGCCCGCGACACCGCCCCGCGCGCCCACAAACCAAGGGTATAAAGACCC